TTATAGTCGCCTAAAAGATGAAAAGCTCCAACTTGTTTCTTGTATTGTGCATTGTATCCAGAAGATCATATCATCCCTAAAAGAAACATCTCATAGAGTATGGATTGCTGAGACTTAATAACCAAGATGGACAGTACGGAACAACATTTCAACGAAGGTCACACTATATTGAATAAACTCATAAACACCTGCTTGTTGGAGAGTTCTTGCCAACATACGCAAGGAAGTATTCAAGAGGATGCATGATTTGATAAACTTAGGGAAAAATAGCTAGTGGTGGTCTTACCGCGGAAGATTTGGGAAAATATGTGGGATATCTGATTTGATCAGGAAGTATGCTCTGAAAATAACATCAACTGGTCCTCGAATTCATGGTTCAAGCTGGTGAGGGATTAGAAAGAGTACCACATGAAACTAGTCTGAAGTTCTTGATAGGTTTTCCTTAGTGCCAACAACATAGATGAATCCTTCTAGAGCCACCTATTTACACTCAGCCTCACCACCTACTACTGACAATGAATGATCAGAAAGTATTAACAGATTCCAAATTCTTCTTCACTCAATATGCAGCGCTCTCAAGGTACTGGACTTTGGCATTCACCGCCATACCAATCTCTGCCAGAGTCCATCCAAGTTGGAGAATTTGTAATGCACTGTTACTAGAGAATTTGTCAGCAACTAAGTATATGTTCCTTCACTGGAGAAACTGAAGGCATTAAAAGATTTAAAACTGACTGAAAGTCAAATTGAAGAAGTACCCACAAGGTATAGAAGAATTTTTTAGTCTCAGAAATCTCAACCTCTCCCGGAATTACAGCCTATGTAGATTTCCTTGCTGGAAGTTACGCAGGCTCTCACAACTCTAATGCTTGGAATTAAGAGAACAAAAGTTGAAGTGTCATCAAAAGAGCTATTGGGCTGACACAACTAAAAGTTCACGAAGCCCAGTTTCACGATGTGCCAGAGCTTACCAATTATGTGACATCTCTTGCAATGCCAAAGTTTGGAAAACTACAACCTTTGGTGGGATTATTGATAAAAAAAGACCAAGATGATGAACAGAGAAGATATATCCTGAACCAAACAGAAGTTTGTATCTACAACTCCAAATATTTAGAAGTACTGGTGGTGAGGTCACGTAATGCTCCCCAGCAACATAGAGTACTTGAACATTAGAAGATGGGACTATCACATTAGCTTATCAAATATTTCAATCGTTGAGAGATGTGAGAGATTTAAGAAGATTTATAATTGAAGACTGTGATGGGCCTGAATCCATCTTTTTATCATCATCCTTCCTAGAAGGGCATAATGGTCCTGTGAATCTCTGCAAGAAATCATATTGTCACGACCCAAACCCGTCCCTATAGGTTTAGTGTCATAACCGAACAATAATCCTGGGATTAACAAAGTCTTGAATAGAATAACAAAATATAAAGGGCTGCAGAAGCAAATATTACAAAATATAATATCCATAGAGCTGTGCAAACATACATGAGACAGAAAAGATTTAAAACTTATATTTAATGGTCAAACTTCCATACGTCATGTATCAACATACAGATACAGATAGTGTCATAAGGGAATTAGCTCAAAGTATAGATAGACAAAAACAAAACAAAACAAAAACATCCTTAACATGATTCACAAACTTGACTGACAAACAGGAACCTTCCTGAGAGGACGCGTGGCTGGGTGACAAAACAAAACTCTCTGGGCAGTAGCTTAGGCCTGGTCATGCGCTTGCTTACCCTACATACATAATATAAACAGTGAGCAAAAGCCTAGTGATAATAATAGAGGTTAAAGTATTTTTAATGAATGTTGTCCATAATAGGTATAGAAAACAAAATCAGTAGTTAACATAAATGGATTCATAATTATGTTCAAAAATCAGAGTTCGTTGACAGAAACAGATTCAGTATCGTACTCATAATCAGGATTTGCAGTTAATCATATTGTGGTACATCCATTACACTAGCAGAAATAGTTGACCCATAAAAGAACAGCCATGAAGGCATACAGTTGACTCACGTGCACGGAGATGGTACAATTGGACTTATGAAACGTATAATTGGCCCATAAATGAGACATATACAGAAGGATCCATAATAGTTGGCTCATGAGACGTATAGTTGGCATATAATTGAGACATAACAGAACATGTAACAAATGTCATCTTGAAGCTAATGATTGCCACAAGTACATTTCAGAAATATTGGACAACCATTCATTCATGCAGAAAATAATATTTCAAAAAAGAGATCATCTTATATTATTTAGAAAATGCTTATTAAATTGAACATAGTTTTACAAAGTTATTACTCACAGATGGCTCCAATTTCAGAATAGATGAAGCAGACAGATCAGATAGCTTACAGCACGTGACCTACAAACAACATATAAACATGTACACATTGAAATACATGCTCGGGATTTCATTACAGTCATTGTGTTCGTTCTTAGTGTATTCTAAGTCTTATCATCATTATGATGTTTAATTATGGTCTAAGAATGCCTAGGATGCATGAGGACACCAAAATGCACTTTGAAACACTTAGTCAAATATGCTGAACAGGGTCCTCGCTCGAACGGTGGGTCAAAAATGTGAGAGGCCGCTTGAGCTCAACTTCCTTCGCTTAAGCGGTTTGTAAACTCTAAAAAAGTACTGGTTGCTTGATTTTTCCGCTCAAAGCACGCTCGATGGTTGCTCAAGCGTAAGACTGAGGTCTTCGCTCAAGCGCAACTCTTGCCACTCGAGCGGTCTGCCAAATGTGTAAACTTCTGAGAGCATGCATTTTACGCTTGAGCCAACTTTTTGGTCGCTCGAGCGGAAGTATGAAATAAAGGTGGTCGCTTAAACGTAGGATCTGTCGCTCGAGCAAAGAGACGTAATTTTGGAATTTCTAGATTGCACTCCCAAGCTCCAAACTCTAATCTAAGTTACAAAATAGGTTCTCTTGTGCCAAAAACTTGAGGAAACACTTAGAAACTGGTAAAAACATGGTGAATTCAAAAGCATTTCGCAAAAGCCCAACAGCTTTGCCAATTGGACTAAACCAAACTTGAAATGGTGAAGACCATAACATGCATGTATTAATTCATGTTCTACACTTTGAAAACATGATCAAATATGTCAAATGATGTGAAATGAGACCAATGAACACGTGTGTATAAATATCTTGGAACAGCCTCAAAACATGATAAAATGAGCATGCATGCATGCATGATATACTCCCATGATCATCTATCTAAGCCCAATTCTAGCATTACACAACTTAATTTTTTGAATTCATGTGCTAAGTGACTTAATTTCAAAGGTACAAGGTTGAATTCTTACCTTAGATGATCAATTATGCTTTAAATAGTCAGTTGTGTGAAGTTCCAAGCCAAGACCCTCAAATTCTCTAGCAATCCTCTTAAGTTGGACTCAATCTCCTCTCTCTCTCTCTCCACATTTTTTTGTCGTGTAGGTTCAAAGTTGTGATGAAGAAGAGATGAATGGTGGCACAAAGGAGCCTTATATAGGCTTGATTAATGATGATTGGTTAAAGCTCATCAAATGAACATTAATCATTCTAATTTAACCGTTCCGAATCGAATTTTAATTCAACTTACCATAAAATTCTAAAATTCCTAACTAACACAGAAATCAAGTCAATTCCATGATCGGGTGCTAACAAGGCCTTTAATTCGCAGAACAGAACAAAACATAAAACAGATATTCTACGCAAAACAAATAGAATCTCATATAACATATAACACATGCAATTAATGCAAATTCACCTTAATTACTTATTAAGCCTTCTTAATCATGGTTTATACGTTAATCATGGGTCGGGGTATTACACATATACAGTGGTGTCCCATGTTAAGGATGTTGCCTATTTCTTTACACATGAATGAGGATAGTGAGCAAGGCTCTCATTACCGGCTTTTCGCACATTTATGGAGAGGAAAAATGGTGGGAATCTCTAGAATGGATGATCCCTACACCAAAACCTCTCTTCAGCCTTTCTTCTCCAATAGCTACCTATTTGTACTCATTTGAGTGAAAAATATATTTTTTCATCAATTTTGAGTGAAAATTTGATTTAAAGCTTGATCTCGTATAGAACACTCCAATCTATACTTCTTTTTCTTTTTTTTTTTGGAATAAAATATTTTAAAAAATTCTACTTACCCTAAAACTTATTTTAACTATTTTGTATGAAAGAAAATCATCCTTGATCTTTACTCTTTTGAAATTTATCAAATTTAAATAAATATATCATTGTTTGAAATTTGGTTAAAGATTTTTTTCATCATTGATTTGGTGCAAAATTTGTCACTTCCTTAATTTGATTTCTACAAGTTTAATGAAATGATTGAACTCATTTTTAGGTCTTTATTTATCAAACTTGAATTCGATGAAATAATTACAAATGATTGGAGATGTTCTAACTTATAAAAATTTTAAAATTTAAAAAATAGTTTTTCTATTTTCAAAAAATTTATTCTGAAAAAATCAGCTTGCTTGGTTTTTGAATTTAGGATTCACTTTTCAAAAAATTGAAAATTTTGTTTTCCTTTTTTTTTTTTTTTTAATTTTTCTTTGAATTTTTTTAATATTTTAAGTAATTTTTTTTTAATTTTTAAATATACCTAACATAAATACACTTAAAAATTATAATATTTGTGAAAAAAATTATTAAAAAATTCACTAAATATCAAAAATATAAAAAAATACGAGAATTCAGTACATTTTCGTATTATTGTGTATTTATTAAATTTTTAAAATATTTTTTTACAAATATTTTATTTTTTAGATATATCTAAATAAAGTACATTTAAAAAAATTATTTTAAAATTTAAAAATATTCATTAAAAATAAAAAAAGTATTTAATTTTTAAAAAATTAAATTCAAAAAATTGAACCAAACAAACACGGTGCATTTTTTTTATAAAGGCATGGAAGTTGTATACCGTATTTTCAGCCATTGGATTTGACTGAATTAATCGAATATTTTCCACTTCTTATTACATTTACACCCAAATTCCCTCTCCAGCCTCTTCTCTGGTTCGCCAGCAGAGGGATTGAATTGAAGAGGTACGGCTCTAAAAACCCTAAAATCTTCTCTTGTTCTTTGCTTCGACTCAATCAATTGATTTATCTTGTCCATTTCTCTTTTGCTCTCGTTTCTTGCTCTCGAAGGGGGGTTCTTGAAGATCTCAGGAGCTCTCATTGAAGAGGTATGGCTTGAAATCCCTAAAACCCTATCTGTCATATCCCGACCCAAAATTTCAAAGTCCTTTTCATCTACACGACTCAAAATTATTTTTCCCAATATTTACCCGAAAATCTACCTTCAGTGACCAATTGTTTATTTGTTTGCTTATTGTTTATTTTTTTGGTATTTATTTGTTTGCTGTCATTTGAATAACCATGTATTAAATTTGCTTGCATCATCAAACTTGATTCAGCACCAAAGCTTTTAAAGCAACTTAGATATGAATATAGACAAATTGAAAGCCATTGTTTGGAGTTGGTCGCAATATTTTCCCGAAACTAGTTAAGGTTAAACTAATGAATTAATTATAGCTAGTTTTGAATGAGGAATGGGAGTACTTACATTTATAAGAAAAAAAAGTTGGGTACACATACATTGTGTTCTCTAAGATCTTCTTCTAGACTAAAAGTTTAGTTCTTGGTTTGAATAATTCCTTTCCTTATCCTAACTACCTAATTATTTCATCTTCTTTTACAACTGTCATTCATGCGTCTTGAGGCCTAATAAATTTAATGAAATAAACCAACAATGTCAGCAAGATGGGTGTCTTGCAACTTTCCCATCTCGTACTATAGCTCCCAAATTTAGTCCTCCGGTGATCTTTATGTAAAATAGGGCTTTATTTTTTGGGTTATTGGTGATACCCTAAATAAAAACCAAGTGGTGACTCCCAATAATTTTCCAAAATAACAATCCAAAAATAAAAACATAAATAAAAGCAGAGTTTTTTGGGCACTTGTACTTGTAATGGCAACTCCATCGAGCAACTTCCTAGATTGATACCACCTCTCTGGCAGATTACCTTTCGAGGTATATTAAAAGGGTGTAGTGTAGGTGTATACACCTATCAATCATTTCCCGAAACACAAGTTAACAAATGTAAAATCGGAAATATGGATGGTATGCACTGAAACCCTAGTCTGAGGGATGCTCAATGAGACTTCCCAGCCTCTAGTGCATATAGTTAACTAGGAGAACATTTCCTTTTAGAACAGGGGTCCCTATGCATGAGTTACTTGCACTTTGATGAGTTTAGATTGTGGTACCGCAAATGATCCGGGCTTGTTCTAAGATGGTCCTTTTATGTTCTTGAGATTGGGTGCCATTCTAAAGCACTGTCAGCTAACCACAATTGGATACCTGATCCAGCCACTCGTAGGTTAGGGAGAATTTATGAAGAAGTTTCAGCAGCTATGGCGCAGGACACAACTACTCTGGATGAAGTGATTAGGATAATGTCAGAATGCAAAGAGCTACGGCAATCATTGGCACCACCTGCTCTTGAGGACATTTGTGGAAGGGAAAAATGGTGGGAATCTCTAGAATTAGGCAAACTGTATTCAAGTAAAAATGTTGACAAAATTTTCAATTAGCCCTAGATGTAGTAGACGCCACGACACATCTGCTTCAATTATTTGTGCTTTGTGACCCCGAAACGTGTGTGGCCACCACTGTTGATTGAGATTACAAAATTAAGCTTGATGTTTTAATTTTTTTCATTATCTCTTTTAGAAATCATATTGATAATAGTTTCATGACAACCACATATGGATTTCAGAATTATGAAAAAGATAAAAATAACTCCTAAACTTGATGATGAGAAATGAACAACCCTACCAGCATGATTGATAACTTTCTTATTTTAATAATCATAGGAATTTAGGCTAATTTATTTTAACCACAAAAAATATTTTAATAATCATAGAACTAGGGATGTAAGAAAAACCGATCGAACCAGTCATATTTGGTTGGTTTTTTAATACGAATTGGTCTGTTCGGTTTTGAAAATTATTTTTTTTCGGTTTTTAGTTCGGGACCGGTTTTGACATATTGTACACCGATTTCCACCAAAACCAACCGAAGATGTTTACATATAATAAAATTATTGTTTTAGGTTTTGGTTTTGTTTTGATGTCAAAACTTCAGTTCTTAGATTATATTTTGTTTCTAATTCTAATTCAGTAAAAGTTTTAAGTATTAGTATTTATTAATTTTTTTGTTTGTATTTTTATGAATGGTTGGATTGGATATGGTTAAAATTGTGTACAAATGATTAATTTAATATTTTTATATAAATTATTTATTATATTACAAATTTAAGAAATGACTTAATTTTGAAAGTGCTTAAACTGATTAAACCGCATTGAGTCGAACTATTTGAATTGGTGTGGTTTGGTGCGATTTGGTCAAAAATTCAGTCTATATTGGTTTTTAATATAATAAAACCAACATTATCGATTCGGTGCAAAATTTCACCTAAACACTGACCGTCCCAAACCGATTACATACCTACATAGAACTGTTGTTTTTATAATTTTCTTGGATTCCTTCTCTATAGTTGCGTGGAGAATTTTGGAACTCTTTGGCTTTTGAGTATGGATTTTGTTATTGCACTAAACTGCATATTTCATTTGAAAAATGCCTTAAACATTGATTTATGAAATCCCCTCTTGGCTGAATGTTTAATATTTTCTTGTATTTATGCTAAATGAGGATCAAGTAAGAGAATTTCTGTTAACTTTGAGATTATCAAAACTATTTGTGATCATTATTTTAGTGTTATTGAAATGTTTTATAAGCTCAATGTGAATTCATGTATTTTTTATCAAGAGTATGAATCCAATTGACTATGATTTGGACCCTAACCAACTGGAGGTTAAGTATTGATACACTTTTGTTACTTTTTTTGGTTTTGGCTTTTGTTACTGTGGCTGCAGCTGCAAAAACTTGAGTTTGTGCTTATCAAACCGTTGAGGTTTGGATTGTTTGTATTGAATATCAAATTTGTTGAGATTTTGAATAGTAAAAACCCTATTAGTTTCTAAATTGTATGATCATTGAACTCACTTTATTGGAATTATTTTATCTTTAATGATAACTGAAGTGCATGAATTTATCTTTACACTATTGAATCACAAAAGATTTATGAAAAGTCCTTGTAGTTTAATTTTACTTATTGAATTTTATTTATTTATTTATTTATTTTTGCATAAGGCCAAGTTTGGGAAGACTAAAAAAGTGCACTTTTTGTCTTTTTGGACTAAAAAATTGAGGTTGAAAATATGGATGTTTGGGTTAACTTTTTGACTTTTTATTGAAAAATGTGTAATAAAAAATTGTAAAAATTGATTTGTAGGGCAAAATTTGAATTGGGAGTTGTGCAGCCGTAATTGTTGACTTTTGGTGAATAGTGTTAACTTTTTAACTTTTTGAGTAACTTTTTGGCTTTTTGACTTTTTTTAAAGTCCCCAAACTTGGCCTTAATCTGGCTAGTTATGGTAGTTGTTACTTTTTGAGCTATCAAATGTATTGTCTTCTTTATTACAGGTCCAAAGGATAGTGTTGCACAAGTTGTATTGGTGAATAGAGTGGTAAGAGTTATTTTGAATTATTTTGTAGAGACATTAGTTATTATTTATATGCTTTATGGATTTTTGTCATATGCTTTAAATATTACCCTCTACCTGTACTGAATTTGTGGGTTGTTGTGAGACTTATGGTGTTGTGGATTAAAGAATTACCAATTGAGGTTTTATCTCTTTATTGCCATGATTATTGTGGAATGAGATTGAAATAATTTTCTCATCAGCTCTGCATGCTCACAGGGTGAAATCTTATAGGTGTGTGGCATTATCAGGTGCCTAGGTTGGTTGGTTTTGAGTGGTGATAGTTATTTTCAATATTGTATTGTTACTTTCTAATTTGACGCATGAGTGGCAACAGAAAGGGGCCATTATCTTTAATTATTTGCGAAAAAAAAAAAATAGTTGTTGCAGCTTGCAAGCTTAAAGTTCTGGGGATTAAGAAACAATAGTCACAATACACAAATATTAACATTAATTTCTTACTGCATTGAATAATTTAATGGGTCCAAATGACCTAATTTTTTCAGGGATCTGTTTTCCAACAATGCTAAGTACTCCAAAATATATATATATATATATATATTGAGATTGATATTCATTTCACGTGTGGGTTGTTACTATACAAAAATTGGATCTTAGCCATATCATTTTTCTAATCAAATTTTCTAGATTATTCAGATTTCTGCTTTTTTCCAAGTAGGATCCAAATATGACCCAAGTTTTTTATTTTATCAATTATTTTAAATATACAAGAAATGTGTAAGTTACAAATTTTTTAAGAGTATTAGGCTGTATGATACAAGACTACTATAATAGTACTTGATAACTAAATTATTTGAGATAGTTTAATAAAAATGCTATAAATACCAATTTTTTAATCAAAAAATTTGCTAAATCACTCACATTTTGATAATTTTTTTTGTATCCCTAGCATTTTTCATAGTCTAATTAATCACTCTTATACACTTTTATTTGGCAAATCAAGGGGTGTGAATATTAATTATTTCTCCTCCGTTGTATTGAAAAAAAAACAGAAAGTATTTTTTTTTATCGACACAAAAAGTACTCGAAAGTTTCTATTTATACCACAATTTTTAATTTCTTATGTTCATTTTCATTAAAAAAAATTTAAAATAAAAATAAAATTTTTATTTATCTTTTTACACCATAATTCCAAACATACCAATCTTCTCTCTTTCATTGAAGAGATATCAACTCACTCTCTTCGAAGACAAACTTTGCTATCATAGACTATTAGAAATGTGTAAAATACTGTTTAATCTGTTAAAATTACATCAATTCGCATAATTTTATCTGTTAATCATGGATTAAATTTTGAAATTTATAATTCGCTTTTAAAATTGGCAGGGACAGCTCAACCCTTTTGGGGGCCTAAGGCAAAATTTTAAAATGTGGTCTTTTGCTATTTAAATTATAATAATAATTTTTAATATTTTATTTTCATTTGAAATTATTTTTTCTTGCATTTTATGATGCAAAATTACTAACTAAACTTTTTAATCAAGTTTTTCTAATCTGTGATTTTCATAAAATAGTTAATTCACTTAATTTTTTCTTTAAATATAGTTAATCTTCAGCATGATTTTATCAATTTTAATTTTGAAAATTTTCTTTCCACAAAAGCAATTCTTACACGTATTATTAATATTAATACATTTATAGAGCATCTCTATAATTTGCTTTCATTTATTTGGATGTGAGGTTTTATAGATTTTACAAAACTTTTAAAGTCTATTGTGAATCTCTCATTTATACTAAATTAAAAATTGATAAAATTAAATCATAATATATGATTGATTTTGATTCCTCAACTATAAAATTGGAAGATTAAGTTTTCTACTAAACTTGACCAGAGCAAATCAAATCACTAGTAAAAAATTGTGCATTTTATATGGGCTTTAGTATAAAAACAAGCGCTTCATGACCACCTGAATTATAGAAGTCCCTAAACATGCTAAAAATAAATAAAATTACAAGGCCTTCACTGGAATGAGGCCTGAGGCAGCCGCTTGAGTGGCCTAGCTCTAAAGCCGGCCTTGGAAACTACTTTGCTCCGCTATAATTAGTATATATGTTATTAAAAGTAAAAATGAGCGTGAGAGAAATTTAAGATATAAAATTTATAACAAATTAGTAATTATAAATATGAACATTTTTATACAAATTAATGTTATATATTATGCAAATACTTAATAATTGGTTAAGAATATTTTTCAATCAACTAGTAAATTGAAACCATCCCAAACTCCGATATAGTTATTTGCCAATCCGCCATTTAATTTATAATTTTACTTTCAAACTACTGAATGACGTCACATACACCCTACACACTTTCTATTCTATTACAATTCAACAATATTATAAATTCAAAATATTTATTTAAAAAAAATTAATAAATTATATTTATTTTGAAAGTTGGGCGAGCAAAGCTCCCAAGTGAGTGCCCATTATATAATATCTATTATAAAGTGTACAAATTTTATAATTGTAAATTTATTTGTGAGATTTTGAAATAAGTAAAGTAATCATACATATTTTTTTTGTTAGTAATTTTTCTTACCATAAAATGTCATAACAAAAAAACATAAAGTAAGATAATTTTGCTATTCGTAATTTCAAGGTGCACATTTTAAAATCATTATTTGTAACTTTATCACAACGTGACATAATAGACTATAAATATTTATAATTTTTATCATAAAAATAGTAATTTTTTTATACGTGAATTTTTTTAGGGGTGCACACTCTAAATTGTCCTAATATTTAGATGTTTTACTCTTTTATTTATATGACATAATATAAATTAAAAATTGCTATGATATCGATCCTATTCAATGTAGCTTGTTGAATCAACTAATAACTTTTTTTTCTCTTTTTTAATTTGAAAATTTATGAGAGTATTAGTGTAACTTTCACTTATAGTTTCAAATATCGAAATAACTCAAAAAGTTGGGAAAAAAAAACTAATTATATAGAAATTAGAGAAATAGTACTTTTAGCTCTTGATTTCAGATAATTTATTTTTAGTATGAGAAAAATTACACTAAACAGACCCATTATCCAACCATAATATAAGTTTAAATTTGCTAACTTATGAAAGATAGACACTTGATTTGTTGAAATGATTTATCT